AGAGCCTAAAGTGAAGAGAGTTTGAGATTAGTAACAGTGAACTGAAAAGAGAGGTCACTTCCTTTGAACTTGTAGAAGGAAATCAATGTCTCTATCCCTCACCAGTATTACAATCTCCTAGGAATTTCTTTTAAAAAAAAAAAAAAATCTCTCATGTTTGATTTTTGAGAAGTATAAAGATGAGGTTTTGGACATGATTAAGATTTCACTTCATTGCTTTAGCCCAGATTCTGAGGATATGTATCTGGTCAAAACATTGCCTGTTTGAGGTTGCAACAAAGAAAAATTAGTCCATTGCATGCCTAGAGCTCACAGATTGCATGTTTCATATTAATGGCATAATACACATTTTCATTTTTATACTAAAAGCAGCACATGATTTGAACTGGTGTCTGAACTTCAAATAATTGCATGCATTAAAACAAATAGCAAAGATGTGCAAACCAACCACCCAGACTGGCTGGAGCTAATAGATCCTTTATCTTAATTTATAAGAAATTATTTTTGAAAGCAATAACTTGCCTTAGCAAGGATTGAAAAAGTGAGGAAAGAGAATGAATCAAAGTAATTAATTTGCTTTATAATATATATATATATATATAGAAATTATATGTGTAAGTTATGACATTCTTTACCTCATATTCAGATTAAATAATTTCCTGTGGACCATGAGGTGGAAGAGCTCTGCAATTTACTTGTAATTCTTAGTGGCAAGCCAGCAAAGGATGTGGTTATGCAATAAAATATGAAAAACAACATAGTTCATGGTGAAGATATATCTAAAAGATATTCTGAGGCAATTCTTTGCTACTTACTTATAAACAAGTAGCAATAATCTGAACACAGGGAAATTGCTTTCTCAGGTTTGTGCCAGAGAAGGTACACTTATGCACAAGCTGTTATGTAAGTTGCTCTTCTAAGGATACACTTCAAACATTTTCTCAGCACAAATCTCCCTCAGAACGATACCCGAGCTTTGCTGCCCTGCTGATGGAAATTGGAGACAAATCCGTCTAGCTGAAACTGTCTGGACCATAACTTCAGGCACTTTCAACCTCAGTGAAATTCAACCTTCTCCAAAGCCTTCCTGCAAAAGTTTTTAGATTGATTTTAAGAGGCACTTATGCAAAATTGTGAAAATGTAGTGAGAATCAGGTTTGGATGAAACTTTATCATTTCTGTGCAGTACCTAGGTACTTTCTGGTAGCCTTCAAATAAGCTTGGTAGGTTAACCAGGGACTGGGAATGGGAGGTAAATAAACGGAATTCTTTTAATCCTCCACCTAAACCCAGCACAGGGAGCCCCACTCCCTTCTGGAGACCCATCATTCCCATCACATTGCCATGCTCTGTCCCAGCTGGGAGTCGTCCTGCACACATGGCAGGATCCATCCAGCTCTGGGGCTGGGGCCAACTTATCTCACTGCCACTTGAGATCAAGCACCTCTGAAACTGCTTTCTTTTCCCCTCACAAATTAATTCCCTGCATTTCCATTCTTTGAAGTGTGAAAACATCAGACTATGACCACTTTGCACAGAGAGGTGAGTCATGAATAGAGAAGTGAGAAATTTATCAAAGAGCAGGGAAAGCACCAAAGGCTCTTTGAAACTTCTGAGGCTACATCTACGTCTGCAAGGAGTGAGGCCTAACAGGAGTAAACGTAGTTTGTCTCACTTCTGAAATCACAGTATCTGACCGACAAGCATTTGGGGGAATAGGGCATACTCTGAACTATGCCCAGTCTAGTCCTACCAGCTCTCACATGTTAAATATGGTTTTAGAGCACATCTCATTTAAATTCATTTGAAGGCAATGCAGTTTCTGCTCTCTGTGAACCAAAGCCCTGTAAGTGGCAATAACTCTGAGGGTTGGTGGGTACAGTTTCTTTGGTTTTTTTCCCACCAAAGTGCACTCCTGACAAGGTAGCCTTGTAAGAGATGAACTAATAGAAAGGATCTGCAAGACAGTAAAGCAGTAATCAAAGGCAGACAGAGAAGCAGACAGAGGAGAGGCTAAGGAAGAGGGGAGACTCTCCAAAAGTAATAAGCCTCATTAAAACTGGGAAACAGGCAAGAATGGAGTGTAAAGTGCTCTGGGACTTCTGCCTGCCTTTCTAATGACAGCTGGAATGAAAGCCTGAAAGAATGAAGTTGGAGCACAGTGAAAAAAGGAGAAGATGAATGTAGTGTGAGAGCATAGGCTACTACATCTTTAAATGCAGAAGACAAAGTGCTGAAACAAGGACAGAAAAACTGAAAATTAAAYGGTGAGGATGCAAGCAGTGACTAGGAGGAGCTGGGATTAAGACAAGATGATCAAGGCTGGCTGAAGAAAGCAAGGCAAATATTTTCAGTTTAATGAAGGCCAAATTCTTTCACAAGGRTAGCAAGAAATTTGAGATCCCACAATTTTTTGATCTTCCTGGTTTGTTCTGTTCTGCCCTATTCTTGTAGCTTTACATTTGCCTTTCCCCTACAGAAAGAGTAATCCCATTGTAATGCCATACCTTATTTTCATGATGAAGCCAAAAGCTGAAATATAGTGACTCACCAACAGTATTTCAGCTGAGTGAACACAATGAGTCTAACAACTGTCTGCTAATTAGCAGGTTTTTGAGATAAAGACAGTTGAATAGCTTGCATCCTCTGACACCMCAAATTAATAATGCTCCAGTAGCAAATAATAAAGTGGAAGAGACTGGCATTATTACTGTTTGGTACAGTACAAAATAGATTAAAATTCATCTGGCTTGCTTATCTACGCAGTCGAGACCATTTCAAAATGCTGGAAAACTCTGCCTTGGCGCTAACATATGATGCCCTAGAGAGCTCTATATAAAGCTAAAAGAATTTCTCCTAAAGCAAGATGCAAAAATTCACAGATTACAATTTTATGAATAAAATTAATTAACCAACAATTCATTACATTCTAAAAGCTTCATCTGACTGTAATAATCCTTGTTTGTAGCCCAAACAGTATTTGGTAATTACAGAGTGATGGAATAATGTGGGTATTTTTTAATTACAGTTCATTACATAAGATAACAAGGAAGAATTTGTGTTYGAATCATAGTGAAACTTAATTGACACCACTCTTATAAAATATTTTCAATGACTAAATTTCAGTCTGTGTCTTAATAGTTTTACATTAAAAAGAAATTTTAATAAGATAATGCTGTGAAAATAATTTCATTGTATTATAAAACCTTTGACTGGATCTTCTAAATAATTAAACTCCTGCCATCTTGGAAACCGGACACAAACACAATTCTAACTTTAATATTCTTTAAGAYGATACAGTTTCAAGTTTCTTTTATTTTTCTCTACTACTTTTAATCAAATTTAGGTTTCTCCATCCCTCAAATAGTCTAAAATTTATACCTGTAAGATAATTTTAGGAGGGATAAATGCCAGATACCAGATCATTCCTCAGCACACAAGTTAAGTTTAAGCAACAGCATGGGCAATCTTGCAAATTGCAGTTACTCTTCTACACAACACATGCAATGATTCCCACAGTCGGCTCTCTCAGGACCTTCCCTCTGTCCAGATGTGTTCTTGCTGAGGCTGAATGTGCTGAGAGTTCCTTCAGATGGAGAGAAGTGTTCACACCAGCTGGGGCCTCATCCAAGAGGGCATTTCTGTCATGAGCTCACATTTATTTCAGAGGCCTCTCTCAATGGTGTACTTAACAAAACAGATCCTGTGGAGATACCAGGTTGTGACAGGAACAACTGCAGTGCTGCCCATCCTCCATAGAACACACACCTGGCTGCCAGAAGGTTTTAAGTGGCAAAAGCATTGAATTAAAACACCAGGAGGGAAGAACACAGAGCCATCCCATTGGAAAATGCTGTGCAGTTGGGATCCAGCCTGCCCAGCAACAGGCAAGGTCTACTTCATTTCCAGCTGAACTCCTGACTTTTATGAGGATCCCACAGCTTGAATTAGGGGTAACTCAGAACCACTGAAGCGGTTTCTATTTAAAGGTACTGTGTACTAGAGGCCCAGTCAAGAGAAGTGCAAACTTCAGGTTCCTGTTGAACAGCTCATTGCTGAACAAGGAAGCAAGAAATTAAGGACAATCTGAGAAACAAAGAAAAAGTTGTTTTCGCTACCTTGCAAGACTCACTTAAATTTAATGCCCTGTGTTAAAACCCATCGTAGCTGCTGATGATTAAAATCATGCAGCCAAARTATCTTTGTCCAGACTTCAATATAACTGGACCCACAGTCATGGTATAGGCTTATTTCTTACCACAGGCAATTAGGAACATAAACTACAAACCAATGGAGCACATTATTCTCATTAATTAAGTACAATCTRCTGCTTGCAAAAGTATTCTGAAAATTTTTCTCTGAAAAAGCTTCTTTAACTGAGCATAAAAATGGAGAAAACCCCTTGCATTTGTGCCAATAAGAAAAACYAAAAGAATAAAAAGATKCTACAGAGGAAAAGCTGCTGCTATAGATGGTTTCTGGATTCCATGACAGAGACAATTCACTCAGCACAATTCTCCTGTGTATGTTAAAACCCTTTTAYAGACTAACCAGACCAAAGACAAGCTTACAGCATTCACTACAAGGTGACACMAGTTTATGTGGAGTCAAGTAGAGGAATACATATGGTTTATGTGATGAATAGACGTATCATTTTTCATATATATATATAGACACACATGCACATAAAATATCTCCTAGAACAAAGCAAGTGCAGGGAACTAAAATTTAAAATRCACTTGCAAACAATCTCTCTATATAAGTAAATACACAATAATAGCCTAATGAACTTTATTTTTGCTGTGGAATAGCACAGCTCCTGTCTGAGTGCCAGAGAACATCCCTTACACTCAATAGCAGGATGACAGTTTTCTGTGTCCAAGAGACATCAAGAAGCACAGAGAAATGCATATCTGTTTGCAATAAATTAGCGTATCGTGTTAATTTTTTTCACCTGCAAGCATCGATTTCATTACAGACTTGTGCACTAACTTGTCATGAATAATAGAATAAACAGAGATATCATGTACTAAACAAAAAAGTTTAATAATAGAATAAACACAGATATCATGTACTAAAAAAAAAGTTTATTTTTTCCCTAAAAAATATTTATACATAGTTTCATTTTGTTTATATACAGTCATAAAGTAAGTTTAAAACTCAAGTCTAAACATCATGATTTCAAAAACACAAATGTATTGACTTCAAATTAGGTTGAAGCTATCTGCCACACCTTTCCCTGGAACACTCAGAAGGCATTTTATGGCAGGTTGAGGTGATAACAGACTATCCATTATCAGAAGCTGCTCTGTGATCTTCCCCCTTCCTGTGCATAGAAGCTTTTTTGCCTTGAGCTACATCATTGCTTCTCTAGCCCTTCTGTGATCAGGTCAGGAGCTAAAGTAGCTCAAACAAGTGGGATAAAACATCCCAGAAAGATGGAATAGATATTAATTGATTTGAATGTCATCCTCTGTTAACTAGCACGTCCTCAGCTTATGGAGAGAATAATAGGAAACAGTCTCAAGTTGGGACAGGGGAGGTTTAGATTGGATAATRGAAAAAACTTYGTCAGTACGATGACTGTAGTGGTGGAGTCATCATTCTTGGAGCTATTTAACAGATTTGTAGATGTGGCACTATGGGACATGGTTTAGTGGTAGACTTGGCAGTACTGGGTTAAAGCTCAGACTCAACRATTTTTAAGTCTTTTCCAACCTAAATGATTCTCTGATTCTATGATAAATCCTGGTTTAAGAAAGCTGCATTGAAAAGATACATAAAAGAGCAATAATTTTCTTAAATTTAGATACTCAAAGCAAAGTGGGACTAGATAAGCACTGGAAGATTGACACAAAAGGGTTAAAATTTGTCTTCAGGGCTGAGGGAGAGAGTAGGACTTCTTTGCTCAGCAGCTAACCACAAGACCACCTTAACAGCATAAATGTAGAGGCCACAAAGAAAGAAGGAAGAAAAGACAACAGTCTCTCTCCTGCTTAMAACACATCCCAACAGAATTTCACATTCCATACTCTGGCTTATTTCCTAAGCCTTTGACAGACTAACAGGAGAGAGACATCCTGAAAAGTAACCCTGCTTGTTATTGCCAGATCTTGATTTCTCCAGCCCAGTCACATGTTGCAAGGAGCGACGGCAAGACTGGGTGAAAGATTGCACTCACACAAGCTTCTTTATGCGCAGACAAAGTGCGAATGATCCTTGAAGTATGATAATTGTAGAAAAACACTTTGCCATCTGAACTTCCTGTCACCAAAAGTGTTCCATCTGGAGAAAATTCACAGCCCACAGCAAATCCTTCCACCTGTGAAAAACAATAACAAGTGTAACTCTTGATGCTGATTAGAAAATTCACTGTGGTATACTGAAAATTRATATAGTACAAAACACATGTATCTTTAAATAAATAYACACTAAAGACTTCTCCAGGTCTTTACTAAGACATAGCTATATAAAAATTTTATTTAATCAAGCCATTAGACATTCATAAAGTCTTCTGATAACTATTTTCTTCAGAGTGTATACGATTCAAAATAGACTGGCGCATGGGAAAGCAAATTAAGGCAATTAATAGCTATCACTCATTTATAATAAAACACTATTAGCAGACATAAAAAACAGAGGTGCTTTGCTCTCTTCCTTTTAAACTTGGGTATTGAGTTTTCCTGTCGGGGAAGGATACCTTGTGTCCTTCGTATCTTTTCTTTTTGTTGATTCTGTAGGGTCGCTGGGCAGAAAACAAAGCCATGTAGTTCCCGTTGGTCTGAGCAACAAACACAGACTCCTTTGGGTGCAGGGTSAGGCTTGGGCAAGTGTAACGCTCCTGAAAATGATTTTAAAGGAAGTTTTGTTGTTTCAAACAAAAGCTTTGTTCAAACAATTCAAGTTATCTTTTGACATATTTGAGAGCCCATGAAGGGCAAGGAATACATAAGCCATCTCCATAATACACATTATCTAAAGATACTTCTTACAAACCACTGGAAGTCTTACATCAAGACAAATGCTAAACCAAACTTCTACCGTGATTTCCTAGATATTGACCAAAATCCCATATCTCTCTGAATCATAATTATGCTGCAGAACAGCTGCAGAAAGGTAACTCCAAACAGATGATTTTCAATCCTCTTCCTACCCAAAGAAACCCAAAGTCTGAATGTGAATCTTCTCCCATACCCCTTGCTCCACAGCCATRCTGTGCTTTCCATGCTATTTGGCACAGTTCTCAAACTCTCCAGCCTCCCAGCTCTGGCCACACTGACAGGAACAGAAAATATCTGATTGAAACAGACACTTTTCTCCATCCCATTCTTATGAAAAAGAAGAAGAAAAAAAGAGATCATTACTAGCCTCCTTATGACAGTGATGTAGGCTGCTGCTGGCTGCAAATTCATAAATATCTGCATTAATTAATAAGACTTGGCTTTACTCTACAGCTCCTATTTAAGACTAAATCAAGATTATTTTCAAAACTCTGATGATGAGTCCAGAAATCAACTGCTCTCACAAGACTTCCACCAGGTCCAAACCTCTTTTAGTTTCCATCTAACCTAAAGACACAGTGCTCAGTTTTTATGCCATGAAGACAGATTAGGAGATCTTTGCCCGTGGGATGCCTCTGCACGTGAAGAACCCCAGGCTGACAGTGACCACTGGACACCACAGGCTGTGGGATAGGGTGGGAAGGACATCAGATGAGTTTTGTTGTGTGATTTGGAAGTGAAGGACTGGGAAGGAAACTGTGGGTACTGCAAAGTATTGGGCACAGTGCACTGTGTGCTTCTGCAGAGAAAATGGGTCTGGAAGTATGGGATCAGAAAGTACACACAAGTGCAGGAGCACTGTGCTGTTGAGTATGCTGTGATAATGGGTTATTTTAGAGCTCTTAACTATTCTTTTGTTTATGCAGACAAGCAATAGATCAAGTCATGTTGAGATCTAGTCTGTCTGGGCAGCTGAGGAGTTCTCTCCCATCTCAAAAGTTTCAAAGGTGAAATCCAGAAAAGTGAAGCAGAGTTTGCAAAATCATYACCACGTTTTGTTTATTCACAGTGCAGAAAAGTGAAGGGGGAAAAAGTCCATTTCAGAGGTGCTGTAGTCACGTTTGTTTGTTACTCCTTGATGCTGAACCTTTCTGGTCTGTAATTTACATATTCACAGTTGTTTCTTTYTTCCTTTCCTATTGTCTATCCAAGATACTGATGGATCCAATATTTTACAAAGACACAATTSTGGAAATTAAACACTAAACAAACCCATTAAATCATCAACTATGTGTCCTTGTCAGCAGAGTACTACTGTTCATTTCAGGATTTCCAAAAGCATCTATATACAATTCAATCATATTATATTACACAGGATATTAGACTTGGGTTTTCAAAATAGACCCAGGGAGTTGAAATTTTCTATTAACTTCTTTGGTRATCTCTCTGAAGCTGTCAGCCTTTCTAGACGATTTAGCCCATTAAATGTCTTGCTTGGATAGATGACTGAGAAATACTGCACCTGCACTGATAAATGCAAATTTTGCCTCTGTGATTATGCTGTATTAGGTATCTACATGCACGTATCAAGTTGCTATTACTGTGTGAATATTAAACTCAGCTTGTCAATAGCCCTCATTGCAGCTGATGAAAAATGTATGAAAAAGTGTGGGAAAAGAAAGGTGGCACTATAGCAGCTACTGCCATGCACCAGTGGCAAACCACAATGACGCTGCAGAGTCCTTGCCTAAATATAGCTTAGATGTCAATGAATTAGCACTGAAATGTAAATATTTTAAACACAAGGAGACCTCTCAGTCTTCAAGGTTATTTTTTAATAACAATTAAGTGTTAAGTATTAAAACAAAGTCATCAACTCACATGAAGAGCATCTTATACAAGACCTTATTGAAAATCAAATGCTTTTTTTTTATTACACTGACAAGTACGAAATATTAAATCATGACCCAAACAAAACTGGTTGTTAATCTTACATGAAAAATCTGATTGGAGATTTTTGCAGCACTTTGGAAGTCCCATGCAATGATGGTACGATCAGCCGAGTCTCGGCTCACTGCATCCGTGCTTGTAAGAAATTCTCTTCCTTCAGGGAGAAAGAGGATATCCAAAGTCTGTTGTACTGCAGCTTTGTACACTCTTAACACCTAGGGGATAAAAGAGTTTGTTATTTTTTGACAGATTAGAATATGATAAACTATGTTTTCCCTCTCTGTATTAATAATTACCTCCATTAAATTATCTATTATTTTTAAACATCAAAAAAATAACTCAGTTTAAAACGTAAATGTACTAGAGCTTGTAAATGGCTTGGTCAATGTATATAAAGAGTCAACATAGAGGAAAATTATATTTTAAAAAGCATCGGTTTGTACAATTTATATATTTATGTATACATAAGATTCTATTGTAAACCACCAAGGAATTAGAGTAAGATGCAGAAAGAGTTTTAAACAACACAATGTTGTGAAGATGGGTCTACACAAAATCCCTTCTACAATATGAATACTTCTAGAATCCCTAGAAGAGGCAAAAGAATCTTTGGCATCAAGATGGCCCACTTGGTAAGCTGGGCTTTGAACTGCAGGACTCGGGGATTTTGGGGTGTCCAAAATGTCAACACCAAACCATTGCAAGCAGCTGGGCACGAGCCAGGCCAGCCAGAGCAGCAGCAAATGCCCCTCAGCTGCCTCCCAAGATGAACCCAGCAGCCCAACCACCTCAGGTGTCTGTACAGCAACACACACAGCCTGGGAGCAGCCAGCAGGAGCTGCAGCTCTGTGCCCAAAGTGGAGAGGGACCTGAGGGTCCTCATGCACAGCAAACACACGAGGGAACAGTGCACAGCRCAGCAAAGCCACTGGGTGCTGAGGGCACCAACAAAGGCATCACCAGAAGAGATAAAAGAGTCACTGTCCACTCGAGTCAGCGCTTTTCAAGCCACACCTGGAAGGAACATTGTGTTCAGTTTTGCCCATGCTATACTAAAGATAGGGGGACAGCCTGAGAAGGGACCAGAAGGGCAACAAAGATGATCAAAAGATTAGGAAGCTGCTACAGAAGCAAAGGCAGAGAGAACTGGGCTTGCTTAGTCTTGAGAAAAAAAAGATTTAAAGAATACCGTGTTCCAGGATTTAAAGGGTGGGTACAAAGGTGATGGAARCTCCCTTTTTACAAAGAGTTATGTGGGAAAGAGGAGGGGTAATTGGTGCAAGTTGCACCAGGGGAGATTCTGACTGTACCCAAAAAGTGGGTTAGATCCATGCAGGAATAGATATGGGCCTTGGGTTTCTGAATATTTTAACAGCCTGTAAGCTGGATCTTTAAAAGTAAGAAATATTTTTAACTATTTTAAGGAATACATAACTATTTGAATTTCCTTTCTTTCCCTCTTCATGAAATTCTGTATCTATGTTGTCTAATTTGAATTTTGCAAATCAATACTTTTGCTTTCTTTTTTCTCTGTTTTGCCTCCAGTGAAGAGAAACTTCAAGGCAAGTGGCCAGATCAAAGCAAACCATCTCTCTGAATATGGTGATCCTTGAAACTAGGACATGGGAAGACTCCTAGTTATTAATATCTGAATCTCTCTTTCTCCAAGATAGCTGAAACATAGCAGCCTGCACTTCCAACAGGGTGTTCAGAGGTTAGTCCTTCTTCTAATGTCACTAGAAAAACCAACAGACGGGAGAAAGTGCTTAAAGCATTATCCTGAAATGACTCCTAACTTTGTGAGGCATTTCAGTGCCTATCTTATAATAAATGCTAATATACCTAGTGACTACTAAATTCAGGGCTCAGACCATTTGCAGATACCTTTTTAAAAAAAGAACAACCAAACAATCTGCAGGTGTCACAATGAAATTTCCTGGATTACATCTCTGTTCTATACCTTCACCAACAAAAGAAAAGTAATTTCAAGTGTCAAACACAGCATGAGAACTTCTTGATTTTCTGCCTCAAAAGCTCAAAAATCTATGACTGTTGGGAAGATGTTAGGAAAGCTGATCCTGCTTTAGGGTGTGGTCTGCTAGTGGATGTCCTGAGGTCCCTTCCAGYTCTGCTTCCTGCAATCTCAGCATGCAGAAGGATGGCAGCAGCAGCTGCTCAAGTTGCTTTTCACAGCTTTAGTGAAATASGCAGTTTAGAAACATCACGTTTGCATTCAGCAAAGAACCTCAGCCATGCAAGCTCCCTACACACCCCATAATAACAGCAACAAAATGTAAACCTGCATACTCAAAAAACTTGCACGTTTCTCAGCAATCTGCCTGCTTTTYTAAGATGGTGAATATACAAATGTACTACTTGCTCTCATCAGATTTTACAGCCTCAGAATCTGCATAATATACAAAGCAATTAAACTTTGTAAAGCCAAAAGGGACATTTCCATATTTATAGCCTCCACTTTCTCTATGGAGAAATCACCATGCATATTTCTTCACAGAGTTATAAAAGGAAGTCTATAGTTCATTAGTAAAGTAGAAAATGAAGCTATTTCATAGGAGCAAAAATGCAAAATAAAACCCCAAACTAAAAAAAGAAAAAAAAACCTACAAAATATAATAGCTGCCTGGAATGAGAAAAGGAAAACTATAAAGAAACCTGATAGCTGTAGGAACTGCAGGAAAAGAACGAAGTTAAATTGAGAAGAGTGGACACAAAAGGCAGAACCACCCCAACAGACTGAGGAGGCAGCTACTTAGCAGCAGGAACCTTCTCAGAAGTGACAAGTTCCAACCAGAGTCAGCAGGAGCAAAAGCATGGAGCAGCACAAGTGTAGGAAGAGTGACAAAGCCATAAAAAAAAAGCCAGTTAGTGCTGGGAAATTAAGAACAATGATCTAGAACAACAAATGACAGCAAACTTTCAAGTGATTATTCATGATACTTTGAATTCTTTAGAGATTATTTAATATTTTCTTAAAGAGGAAAATCATAGACGTACTGTTTAGCTCTTCATCATCTAAAACAACCCCAATCTTGTGAAATGTGGGTACATATCCATACACACATGGTGTCCAACATTGTAAAGGGTTTAGGTTTTAGACTTAYTTTTAACAGGTTTTGAAGGAAGAGGCATTTCTTGGTAAGGAAAAAGAAGATACTGTGAAGTTGGTAATGTGCAAATTCTTTTAATTTTTGCTGAAAACCTGTTGGGTTCTTACAAAAACTGCAACTATYAATTTAAACATTTTCACTGGTAATCACTAAATAATGTTTGTTTGTCTGTAATTTAATAGGATATGTAGCCAAATTACCTATATACCTTAGCTTAGCAACAGGAAACTATATTTATCAAAATTAGTACAAAAGACTTTCTTTTTTTGTATGTTTGATACATACCTCACAAAAACCATGCTGTTTTATCTTCAAACCACATAGTAAGAACTGACTCAGAGAACAGCAAATTAACACTTTGAATAGCAGCTGGGAACTTGATATACACAGTATTTCAATTGCCCCATAAAGACAGCTTTCAAAAATAACTAATTGCAACATTCCTGCTCAGAAAAGTATTCATAATTAAACCTGCTTTGTTCTACCTCAGGCAATTAATTCATGGCATGCCTGAGGAACTTGTTTGGGGAAAGCACGAGTTTGCCCACCCTGCTGGCTTTAGATTGTTAATAACAGCTTCTGCTCTTTTGCCATTTGCAGATTTATCACCGATCAGCGCTAGAAAACAACAGTTCACTTCTTCAATSTAAGCATTTTCTGCTTAGAAAAGAATTCATTTCAAAGGAAGGCCTAATCGTTTCTGGTATCAACACAATCCAACATAATAACAAARCTTCTTCAATAAGGCAGGAGTTCATGACAGCAGGCTTTTGAAAAGAAAGGTAATTCAAGCAAATTAAATCAGTTTCAAACTGATTCTTATGGTTCTGGTGATTTGAAAAGCACACTGTGATGCTGAATTCAAGGTATATATTTCACATGGGTGTTCCACAATACTTCCCTGCATAAAGCACATACCATGCATGGTAATTTGTTTGCCAAGAAATCTCAAACCCTCCTCACCAGCAATTCAGGAGCTGTTATTTGCCTCAACTCGGTGCTGGTCACTTATAAGCTCTGTGCAATGCACTTTACAAACAGCACCTCAAATGTTATGCTACTGTTGAGAAAGAAAGGATCTTTCATAGTCATTGCCCTGGGCATCAGGATAGGGGKTCTCCAAACAAATCTAACAGGACTACAGGCAATACGGCAAAGAAACCCCTTAATCAGTCAGATCCATGGCTTCCAACCTGTAAAACTGGGCATATCTTTTCAATCATTTCATGTCCTACCTGTTTAGATTGTGTGACTTGRCACGAACCTGCCTCTTCCTACTGACATGTTGGGTAATTAATGCAAAGGGGGACTGATTTAAGTTTCTTCTGTGAAACAATACCACACCATCAACAGCAATAAAAAGCACATTTTAACTTACAGAAAAGCTTATTTTTCCACAAAACAGAAGGGTTKTTTTTTTTTTTATCTATTGCAGTGCAAACCATTTATGTCAATCTATTCTGGAGAGTAAGGTGTCGAGGCAGACTACTATTTGCTTTTTAGCTACATGTTCACAACAAACCACAGACACACGACAAATCAAATATATGTCTCTGATCCCCATCTAGGAATTATAGGGACAGTTTCAGCCAAAACACATGACAATATCATAGGCAAGAAGATCAGCATACTAGCCATGCTTGCTTAAAGTCTTTTAACATAAGACTAATGTATTTCTCTTCTTGCAGTTAYAAAACCTTTCTATCCTATTTAAGTTTTTTCCTGTTTGTACCAGCTCTGTTTTCAGAGATACAATCCAGGATTATCAAGGGATCTTGAGAATAATTAAAAGGAAGGAAAGACTGTTTAAGATAAAGAAGTGGCTAACCTTAATCTGGTATTGATCTCTAAGATTTCAGATATGAACAATGTACACAGGCTTTTTTAAAAGCCAATTTCAGATTACTTGAAAGAATCTTGTGATGGAAATTGTCAACCATTTATAAAAAAAAAATTATTTCCAACAGTTTTTTTTTAATTTAAAATTATCTCAAATAGGATAAGAAATTAAATCCACATACAGGAAGATACAGAATGGCATTTCTGTGAGAAACTCAACAGATCTTTTAGAATAAAAACAATGAATT